GGCGGCCGCCGTGAGGGGAAGGTGGTGGCCGGGAGGCTGCTATGGAGCCGGGAGAGGGGGAAGAGAAGGAGGAAGAGAAGGAGGAAGAGGAGGAGGAGGAACGGGTTCCTGTGAGTACGGGGTCTGCGGAGGGGTTCGGGCAGGCGGCCTGCGGGGGCAGTGTGGCCGGGAGGGCGGTAGCAGCTCTGAGCAGCCCCCCAGCCTCTCTCCGGCCTTGGGGAGGGGGCTGTGACAGGCTGGTTGGTTTGCTCGCGTCTCTCTTTCCCTCTCCCCGGGCAGGGGGAACTGTCCCGGTCTCACTCTCTGCCCCGGAAAGGAGATATCACTGGTTGATTGCCCCCCAGAAAAAGGGGGGATGCAACTGACCTGAGACACGCCCCCCCTTCTCCTGCCCCGGAGAAAAAGGGAGCTGAGACCAGCCTGGTCCCTCTCCATCCCCTGCATTCATTACTGGGAGAAGGGTGGCTATATGGCCTGATTCCTCCTCCCCTCCTGGGAAGAGGGTGTGTGTGTAATTGTCCTCTTTCCTTTGTACCTTATTCTGCCCTGGAGAGGGGTGGGTGCAGTTGTCCCCTCCCGGGAAGCCAGAGCCAGTGGGACTGGAGCGGCCTCAGGGAGCTATTCCTGACCTAGAAGGGCTCATACATGGCTCTGTGCTATTTGCTGTGTTCGTGTCAATGCTGGGGACGAGGAGGAGGAGATCTCTGGAGATCATGGATATCCCATCATGTCCTGCCACCTCCATGTACTGGAATCAATGTTTTTTTTGAAGTTGCCTCTTGTGAGAGCATTGGGAAGCTTCCTTCCAGTGGTTGTGTGCTGTTCTGGGACTTGGTTTTAGCTGTCCTGCTGTTCTCATGGTGGTTTCCAGAAGTGTGAGGGGTTTGTAGCACCTACACAAGTTTTTACTCTTGCAAACTATTGGGAGGCATCTTTGTGCAGGGTGCTTGAACAGCTGGTGTTGGTCACTTGAGTCTGGAGATGTTTATAGATGTCACGTCCACCGTTCTGTGTTAGGAAAGGTGTAAGAACGCAACCCAAAATGAAAAGTTACAAGGTGGTGACCACTCTAGATCTTTGTTCCAGAGCTCTGAAGGAGCTTAGAGGCGTAACAGCCAAATAGCAACCAGTGGTAGATGCCATACCAATTCTCTAAACAGTCCCTGGGGAAGAACCATGGGTTGGTACAGGTTTCAGTCTTATCAGGAAAAATGATAGAAATTAAAAGAAAGAATGGAAATGACCGTGTGAATAAATACGGCATTTTAAAGACCTTAACAAACATGTGAATACGGGAACTCGGATAGTGTAATCTTATTTGATTTTCCAAAAGCCTTGTGCGGAACAACCTTTACCGTATGTTTTCAGGAGGGCTAATTTGCCACAGAAGGGACAGTTCTTGCACTACTCTGTAGTCCTGTACAGATTTAACTAAAAAGGAAACGCATTTGAATGCTGATTTACAGACAAATTTCACAGTTAACTTTATGACTCCAAACTGTATGTGATGTTACAGACCAATGAACTTACCTCCTGCTCCTTGTTTTACCTTCGCAGTGTTCATCACAGGTCAGTTTATTTTGATCCTTTCTGGGTGTCAAGTTTTGTTGTTTTATGGCAGCCATGCCTCCCTTCGCTGTGTTTGTTTTGCCTGGTGGTTTAATTGCTGCTCTGACAACCAGAGCTCAGCTCTGGGAATACCAGATGGAGCTGAGCCAAGCTTGTTGCTAGTGTACTGCTGTTCTTCTGGGTCAAGGGGGTGCAGGTGCAGATAGATAGTAGGCCAGACAGATCTTCTGTCTGTTGTAGAATGGCAGCTCTTACACCTTTAGTGTATATTTCTGTTGCGGGAGACTATTTTAGCTATAATCTCAATTGACAGAGAATAACATTGAAAACGGATGTTTGTAACTTGTAACATGCAAGACTGTAGCTTCACCAGTGCCTTAGAAACCATGAAGTCCCAGCTCACCTCTCCGAAGTGACCTGTGCTGCTGTGTCCTGGTTACTTTTTGTTGTCTCTGTGTTGTTTTGTCACTTACTCGAACAGACAGCAAACCAGTGCAGCTGGGCACTGGGCTTTTAACTGCGCTTAAAGTTGGCTTAAGAAACGTCTACTCAACTCTTACCTCAAGTTTTTGCTTACTGAAGAGAGAGTGGGACTGTATCTTCCACCAAAGTGCCAGTTTATGATCATTTAAAGGCATTATGGAACTTCTGGCATCAGACTGTTAAGAGTGGGAAGAAATTCTGTAACCAGCATAGTGATACTTTTTACTGTTTATGCTATCTCTTGTTTTATCGGTGAAAACACTTTGTCCATTTCCTCTTTCAGTTTATTTTTGAATTTGAGGATTATTTAAGCCCTGTCCTGCAAACTTTTTTGATTCTACATTTAGCTAAGTGTAGGTATTACAAATAAGATTCAGGAGGATCAAGTTTTTGTTTCTTATTTTTAAATGTTCGAATTGATGGCTGCATTCCAAAAAGCCCGTCATTAATAGAATTTCTTTCTTTCTCCTTTTTCTTTTTTAAAGCTAAGTAAAAACATCAAGCTAAGGTACCTAATGACAAGAGTACCTTTTATTTCAATGATAATTTAGTGTGGAAAAGATAAAGGAATGAGCATTTTCTTAAAACTCAAAGGACAGTATAATACAAATTACAGATCTTGTAAGTATGATCTAAACAAAAAAAAATAATCAGGGGATACTCAGTGCTTTTTCAGTGGTCCAAACTTAAGAATTTAAAGAAGTAGTTGACCTTCAGGAATGTTGTTAAATGTTCATATTGGAGTTATGAATTGGACAGCAAGCAGTTAAGGGATTTTTGCAGAGGAATGAAAATAAGCTGACATGTGTGAAACTAAATTTTTGTTTATTTACAATAAGTAGACAAAAGGTTGATGCTTGGAGGAAAGTTAATGGTTTTGATTAATAACCGTTAGGTTGCTGAAGGTGCTGTAGCAGTGTTAACCTATTAGGAATTTATTGTGTTCTTATAATTGGGAATTAGGCTCTCATCTAGGTTCCATGTCCCATGAGAGGTTGGACCAGATGATCTTTTGAGGTTCCTTCCAACTGACCTATTCTATGAAACCCAAAATGATTAGTTCTGAATCAATAAGAAGAGGAATCCAGCTTCAGTTGCAAAGAAATGGGATAAACCCATAGTTTCATTTAGACTTTCTTTACTCCGTGTGCCCAGTAGAGCTTGTGGGTGAGAGGTAGTGCCTGGGGTGGTGGAGGCTTAGGTAAACTGGACATATGCAAGTCCAGAGGGCTGGACAGGGTGGATCTGAGGGGGGTAGTGGAGCTGACTGATGTCATGAAAGACCCCTCTCTATTGTCTTTGAAAGGTTGTGATGACTGGGAGATATCTGTAGTAACTGCCAAAAGGTTGGTTATGCTCTTTTTCAAGAAGGGCAGGGAAGAGGCCCTGAAGAACTACAACACAGTTAGCCTAGTCATCTGTTCAAAATTGAACTGGTGGTATTCCTCCAGGGTCAATCCTTGGGCTAACGCTGCATTATGTGATCACTGGTGACCCAGGGGATGGGGTGAATGCGCTCGCATCGAGTTTGCGGATGACAGCAAGTTGGAGGGAGTGGATGATACGCTGGAGGACAGGGCTGCCATTCAGAGGCACCTTGGCCAGCTGGATTAATGGCCCAAGAGGAATCTCATAAACTTTAGCTATGAAAAATGTAGAGTCTTGCTCACTGAGGAATAAAATCCCTGTACATCAGTACTGACTGGTGGTCCTTCAGAGAAGAACCTGAGGACCTGGTGGGTGGCAAATTGAATGTGAGCTGACAGCTTGCCCTTTGCAGCCATGAAGGCCTGTCATGCATTGGGCTGCGTTAATAAGAGCAGAAGGGACAGCTGGAGGGAACTGAATGAACTGAATATTCCATCTTCCTGGCCACAGCCGGATCCTGTCTCCTGTTCTGTCAGCAAAGTGGCCCGAGGCTGGTGGAGGCCACCAAGACACTCAGGGGGCTGGAGCACACAGTGGATGAAGAGAAGCTGTGGGGCCTGGGTTGGTTTGGCCCAGGGAGAAGGAAGAGGCAGCTGAAGGTGGTTTGGCCCAGGGAGGAGGAGGAGGCAGCTGTAGGTGGTTTGGCCCAGGGAGGAGGAGGAGGAGGAGGCTGAAGATGAGGATCTGTGGTGGCACTTCCCTGCCAGAAGGAGGGTTTATAGAAGGCAGAGGAAGACTCTTCTTGGAGGTGCACAGTGCCAGGCCAAACAGCAGCGATGTGTTACAGGAAGGAGGAACCTGAGCAGGAGAGGAGGAAGCCAGTTCTTTGGGAGGAGGGTGGTGAAGTGGTGGACCAGGGCCCTGCAGAGGTGGTAGAGCTGCCATCCGTGGGAAGAGTCACAGGTTGAGAGGATGAACCTGATCTAGCCTTGAAGTTATCCCTGCGCTGAGCAGGAGGTTGGTCTAGGTGACCTCAGGAGGTGCCTTCCAGCCTCTGTTACACTGTGATTACACGGGTAAAACTTCTGCTCCAGGCATTAATGTGTATTACAGTAATCGGCTTTCAGGTTGCCTTACACTGCCCACGGCTGAGGCGTGACTGAACAGAGTGCTGTCAGCCTTGGAAGCTTTACCTTCCTAGGAAACTGAGCAAAAAATAGGCTGACTTGGTGCAGGTAGCAATGATTAATTTTCCACTCATTATTTAGGACCTTCCATAAAGCTACTGATGTTATAAACTTGACAGTGGAAACTACTGTTTTTGAGAGAATCAAAACGATGCGCTGACAATCTTTGCAATGTCAGTGTATGTTGTGTAAATGCACGTTACCTTCCTGGAACCCTTTCAGCACATCCCCCTGTGTCGTGAATCTTCTCTTGTTGCATTTGAGCTCTGCTGTGCTGGTTCTAATCTCTCATGGCCATTCGAAAGCCCAATGTTTGTCACACAAAAGTAATAAAATAGTTCAGAATTTACGCAGCGCCTGGTGTATGGGTTGGTGGTGCCTTTGTGCCAGGAGTGGTGTGGGTCTGGAAAGTACTGCTAGCACACCAGTCCTTACTGGAAAAACAAGTCATAGCTTAAATAATTTGTGTTTCTCATACCTGACAGCACCAAGTCCTTGTTACA